GTTAGGGCGGGGACTTTGGGGAAGGGGCGGGGAATGGGCGGAGTTGGTGTGGGGAAGGGGCGGAGTTGGGGCGGGGCCAGGGTGGGGAAGGGGCGGGGCCAGGGCCCTGTGGAGTGTCCTCTTTTTTTATTTTTTAAATATGGTAACCCTAAATTTACCCCAACACTGCCACCTTTTATGTAAATGCTTTTACTGTGAGCTTGGGTGAAGGTAACCCCATAACTTGCGCAGAGAATGTAAAAGTCAATGGTAAAAGCTGTTTAGGGCAAATTATAGCTTCTAACGTCACTCTTGTTAAAGCAGATCTTGTCAGAGTGAATATTGTAATCCTCTGAGTTTACTGTAAGTGTGCCTTTAGCCTGACTCCATCTTGAATGGAATGGTGTTAAATGTGAAGTTCTAGCTGGGGTAAGAAAGTTATTGCCTAAGGATCTTTTGATTGGGGATGATATTAAAGCTTTGTTCAATCAAGTTGATGACATAAACCAGTCACAGGAAAGAAATAATCCTGAACCTGTGTCTGCTAGGGGCAAGGATTTGCCTATGGAGGGTTTCTCCAAATGTTTGGATGAGGAAGATAACTTTTATCTGAGCAAAGAAGCAGTGCATATGTGGAAGAAATTCCTGAGTGCGTCTCTGGTATCTCAGAAAGATGTGGTATGTTCTATGGTGACTCAGGACAAAGTAATATGATAGTGATTTACAAAACTAAACTTGCCCAGACAGAAGAAAGTTACATGCTTTTTCTCTGTGCCCAGTGAAATTTCCCCTCACGGCTAGGATTCAGCTCCTATGGAGAAGGAAGGAAGGGTTGCTCCTCCCCACATTTATACTTCAGGTTAATACTGTCCACCCCTCCTGGAAAAAAAATCACTGTTCTTTTCTTCCAATATTACACATAACTTGCTTTACTCATAGCCCATAAGTGGTGGTTCTTTTAAAAACCCAACACTCCAGTAGCATGGCTTTGTTTAAAGAGCAGAAAGGCACTGATTAGAAATCAGAGCAGGAACCGGCACAGGGTCTTTTTTTGTTTGTTTGGGTTTTTTTTTTGCACTCCAGTGGAAAAAGGAATAGCCCTCCCCCATCAGTATTACCCTAAGCTTGCATCATTATTACAGTCTCTTGATTAAACACTTACCACGCTGTCTGAAGACTGGAAGAAAGGAGGGTCTCAGAAGTAACTAACAGGCAGCCTGTGTGCCTGCGCCTCTCTTACTGTAAACTCACTCCCACAGCAACATACCGACCCCTTGTGTGTTTCTTGTCCTTAAATGATGTCTCAGCTTAGAAACAAACTTGGCAGAACTGTTCGTTAGTGCTGCAATCAGCAATGTTTCGTCATCTCAGCATGGCCTCTTATAGTTTCATTTTTTCAGCAGTTGAAATAAAAATCCCCCGATTCCTCTCTACTTCCTGTGATGTACGGGAAGTGTGTGCTTGTTTCCAGTTCTGCCTCCAAGCAGCTTCTCGTTGTTTTTTCCATCTCAGCATTTTGGCAAACTTTCTGTACTTGCAGCAAACTCCTGTTTGGCATTGCTCGTCCTATGTCAGGCCCAGAGGCTGTACAGTGGAGTTGGACAAAGTGCCTCCTCCAGAGTTCTACAATGCCACTTTAGGGGGTCATCTACAGCAACTCCAGGCCCCAGCAGCATGCACTGCTCAGTATGGAGCCTTGTGGGAGAAGCAAATGGGCAGAAGTGGAGTTGTGGATTGCATGTTTTAAACCCCATCAGTTACATATACAAAATTATGTGTTTACTTTTGGAGGGACATCATATAAGATAAGAACCTAGACAGATTAACTCATCCCCTCTGCAGACTGTTTGACTCTTTAAACGGGCAAAAACTGGACCCCCAACCTCAAATGGCAGAGGCGGTGTGAAGGGCGTTTACTTATGAAAAAAAATCTCTAGCTGGGCAGGGAGGTGAAAATCAAGCTCAGGAACCAGTGTGCACACTTACGATCCTCCTTTCCGCATTCTCCATGATCAGGCTCTTAGACTCTGAACTCTTTGGGCAGCGTCTGTCTGTTTGTACAGCACCCAGTTAATGTCTCTGCCCAGTTACTGCTGCTTTCCCACCAGTCCACAGGGAGGTGTAGTCCCCCCCATAGACCCAGCTATGTCACCCAAAGCCAACATCCAGGATCAGGCAGGGGATGAGGCAAATTCATGCGCTGGCTCCATGTATATCACAGTGTGAGAAGAACAAACAGACCAGAACCAGCAGGAGCCCAAATGACATAAGCCAGGAGGCATCTCCATTAAGCAGGGGGCCTGGTTAAGGCTCCAGCCCACAACTGAGAAAATATTGATGTCAATGAGCCAGGTGCCCACCCTCCCCCCTACACACAACTAACCAACCTGGCTGGGCGCTGGGTAGAGCTTCCTGTCTTCCCCCACATGCTGCCAGCTGAGTCTGATCAGACACGTTCCTCTGAGTGACAGGTTTCAGAGTCGCAGCCGTGTTAGTCTGTATCAGCAAAAACAACGGGGAGTCCTTGTGGCACCTTAGAGACTAACACATTTATTTGGGCATAAGCTTTCATGGGCTAAAACCCACTGCATGCATCTGATGAAATGGGTTTTAGCCCACGAAAGCTTAGACCCAAATAAATGTGTTAGTCTCTAAAGTGCCACAAGGACTCCTCGTTGTTTTTGTTCCTCTGAGTGTAACTTCCCAGGCTGCTCAGTTCTCCTGGCACAAATAACTTCTCTCTTGCACCAGATGTGAGCCAGAAGGCTCCACGCTCATGGAGGTATCATCTGAGCTGCTCCGCATTGCTGGTGTGAATTCTCAAGAGATTTACATCCACCCATTAACTCAATGGCCTGATGCGTCGTAACCCCCCACCCCATCGCAGCTTTGTACCTGTCAGAGATCTGCAGGGTGCATGCATTTCTGATTCATTTCAAGGCGCTGACTTGTAACCTGCAAAGCACGCCAGGGCTTTGGACTGCTGCATTTTTTCTACGTAGGTTCTCCTGCTGCCCTCAGCACTGTAGTATGCAAGTACCTGCCCGTCATGCATTAAGCAACGTGACTAACATCTGTCCTGTCCTTGTTCTCTGACCCTCGCCCTAGGGAGAGAAGTATGTGAGGGCCGTGTTTTGTTTTGGAACTTTTGGGGGATTTTTCTCAGGACCACCCCCTTCTGCTGCCACATGATACCACTGCAGCTGGGATCAGCTGGGACCCTTGAATTTGCCTCCCCGCCCCAGTTAAACTGGAGCGAGCTGGCAGCAGGATATTGTCATGGAATCCACTCTCCTCCATGGCTTGCCACAGCCTGGATTTGCCAACACTCAGGCCCTGCTGCAACAGGCTTATCGCTGCTTCCAGGCCTTTCCTGAGAGGACAAGTTGAATACGGCCTGGGAGCAGAGGGTGGGGTCCAGCTTTATTGTGGGCTGGGGGTTGCCTTTGCAGGCAGGGAGTTGAGCTGAGTGTCTGTAAGCATCTTCCCAATCTGTGAATCAGATGGAAACCAACCAACTCACCTACCAATTTTCAAACTGAAGATCAGACGATTTTCCCAACCAGGACTTCATACATTTTAGCCCTTTCGATGTGGGCCTGGGATGGTGACTGCCTCCAGTTCCTAGATTTTTATGGCCAAAAGGGCCAATTCTGACCATCTAATCGGACCTCCCGCATAGCACAGGCCAGAGAATCTCTCCCAGCGATTCCTGCCTCCAGCCCAACAAGTGGCGATTGAACGAAGACAACCACTTTCCATTTGACAACTCCAAGTGATGGTGAATCCATCTAATCTCACATGGATCTGTTCCAACGACTGATTGTCCTTGCTGGTAAAAATATGCATCTTATTTCCAATTTGCACGTTGCACACCTCAGCCTCCAGCTCTCGGATCTTGTTATGCCTTTATCTGCTAGGGGCTAGGAAAAGGCAGATTAAGTTACCGGCGTAGGTTTGCTATCTGATACTCATTTGCCATTTACTGTTTTTTCACTCTTGGCAGTACAGTTTGCGATTAAAATGAAATCTCTTCACATACATATCAAATGTAAAGCGCCCACACAGGTTGTTACATGAATACTGACCTTTATTAGTTTCTCTTAGAATACTGTACAAAGGAGTAATAAAAATAACATTCACACTTTGTCTTAGAAAGTTCCTCTAGATGAAACTTCTTTGTATATCCAAAAAAGAGAAGGAACTGGAAAAAACAACTAAACTTCTATGTACAATGCAAGAATGTTCCATACAAAACTGATTTAGCTCACTGAAATTGTTCCAAAGAGTGTATTATTATGTGCACACACTTAAAAATATATCTCTATTTTATGCACGATGGTAAATCAAAGCAATATATCTCACTGCTATTAAAGAAAATCATATGAGACTCTGACTGTGTGCTACTGCCAACAGTGACCCAGTTATTGTCCTCTCTTTGAGGACCAGTACCATTCTTTTAATATTTAAATTATGTTTAAACTGCTGCTGCTGTTTTAAATAAATCCTCATTGACTGAACAGCCTTAGGTCTCAGGGGGAAGGGGAAAGAAGGCTCCAATCTTGCACTTGGATCATGTGGAAGGGCTGTATAGTGTTGGGTTAAAGATCCAGCTGTTGGAATCCAATTGCAAGACTGGGGCCTTCACTCAACAACTCCAAGCTGTTGTTCTGTATCTTTCTGTGCTGTATGGACAAGCACACAGTTCTCTCAACAGCTGAGGAAAAAGGCTTCGCAGCGATAAGAGCAGGCAACGGGAATGGCTTGAGTCAGGCCAATGTCTGAGAACTGGTCTATTGTGATAGATTTTAAAACCCTTGGTTTCTTTATTGTTTCTCTGTATCCGCAGCAGACAAAACTACAATGAAAAGCATTGGCTGTACTGAAATTCACACCTACCGCTATGCAGGGAGCCAGCACAAGGCCTGGAGGAAGATTTTCCCAAGGGCCTAAGTGAGTTAGGCACCTAAATCCCATTGAAAGTCAAGGGGAGTCCAGGGTCTAGTTCACTTAGGCGCTTTACACAAGGGTTGAATTTCACTCTGGGATCACCACCACACTTGGCTGCAGCCATATTTAAATGCTCAAGACTCTAAATTCCTGCAAACTTCCCCACCCGGGGGTGCACGCAATCCCTCTTCTGCCCAAAGCTGGTTTTTATCCCCGAGGAGCTTCCTTGGCGTGTGTGCTGTTTTCTCCAACTCTCCATGGCCTGAGTGGCCCTTCATCATTTGTCTTCTGAGTCAGAGCTGCCATGTCTGGCCCATTTCACACCCACCCCTGTTTTATAAAAGTGGTTTCAATGCAACTTTTCAGGAAATCTACACTGTGGTTTGTTCTGTAATGTTTGGACTAGCATTTCATTGCTTTGTCTCCCAGATCACCTACAAGTGCCTAGTGAAGGGGGCTGTTCCCACTCACTGCATACTCAGACTCCCCCTTCTGAGTGACATTTTAATGGAAGCTACCCCTACACACGGGGGGGGGGGGGAATAGATCTCTGACACATAATTATGCATCGCTCTTTTTAAAAGTTAACCGAAATCCCTTTTAAACTGTTAAATCCTAGGGCCTGATTCCCCTCTCACTTGAGCCAAGTAAGGCCCCGATTCAGCAAAACACTTAAGAGTGTGCTTAAATTCCATTGACTTCTGTGTGTCTTAAGCACATGCTGAAGTGCTTCACGGAAACTGTTTTCACTGAAATGCTCATAAAAGAGAAATCATTAGACTTGTCTATGAATATCACGTCTTTGTAAACCGGTTGAGGAAAACTTACACTCCAGGTTTTAAACTGCCCCACTGAAGAGTTCATGATTTTATTTTTAGTAGCTTTACATTTCAGCGTTAATTTAACAGAACTGATTGGACATGACCAGTGTCACTGAACCCACAAACAGTGCAGGTCCAGACCCCAGCTGATGTAGGTCTGCCGAGCTTCACCACTCCACAGCGGCCAAGGGTCTGGTGCCTAGCGTCAGCTTACATTTCTGCTACAAAATCACTCCAGCTTTGCATAGTTTACATGCACGAGAGAGGGAGAGAAAAGGCAAAACCTACATGTATCCGGGAATAATGGTTTTAAGCAAATAAAGAAAAAAAAAAGTCCTTTTTTCTTTATGGTGGGTTTTTTGCAAAACACAAGGATAAAGTGATTCCTGCCCCACTTCTCTGGGTCGAGATTCCCACCTTTAAAGTAATTATTTTGTCTCCTCTAGTTAGGTTTCTATTTGTCCCCAAAGCTAGATGAACACCACGCTACGTGTTCCGTCTCTTTCACTGGAGAAGGTTCAGCATCAGCACTATAATTCTGTGGCCTGCCAGACCTGAATTTGTCCAGCAGTGTGCACCTTAGACTAGGCACATCATCCCAGCAGTCTGGGGGAAGGTACTATCACTGCAGAGTGGAAACCTGCAGTCTCCCCATTTCCGTCTGAGGCACGTATCTACAATGTTCATTTCTGAATCCACCCAGACATTCTCATCAGAAAATAGCACTACTGAAACTATTTTTTCCAGAAGTCACAGGC